CTTGGGCTTGGGCTTAACCCACAGCATCATAACCATTCCTCCAAGGAATACTGAGCATGAACCTAGGCCAACTTTCCACTGAGCAAATGGCCAAACTGATCTCCTTAGCACAGTGCTGATCGCATTTTTTTTTAAAAAAAAGAGGTTTATTTATTATTTTTATTGGAAAACAGATCAGATTTTACAGAGAGACAAAGATCTTCCATCTGCTGGTTCACTCCCCAAATGGCCACAAGTGGCTGGAGCTAAGCCAGTCTGAAGCTAGGAACCAGGAATTTTCATGATCACCCACATGGATGCAGGATTCCAAGTTCTTGGGCCATCCTCTACTGCTTTCTCAGTTCATAAGCAGGGAACTAGATATGAAGTAGAACAGCTAGGAAGTGAACTGGTGCCCATTTGTAATACTGGGCTTGCAGGTGGCTTCATATCCTCCTATGCCACATTGCTGGCTCTTTCCTCTCCCAAACCCCACAAGCTCCCTGAAGTAGCATTACGTTCACAATTGTGTCATCCATGCCTGGCCCAGCACTTAACATCTAACACGATTTTTAACAAATGCTTGTTGAACAAAAGAATAAATTTTAAAAACTGCTTCCACCAGACTTTCTCCATTTTAAAATTCATTACAGTGCTGTGTGTGTGTGTGTGTGTGTGTGTGTGTGTGTGTGTGTGTGATTTGGCAATTCTACTTTTAGCAATTTATCCCAAGGAAATCATCAGGCACACCCAAAGAGGTATAAATAAGGATGTTCAATGCAGCACTGTCTACATGGGAAACCCTGGAAATAACACATGTGCCAGAGGGATGTGAGAATGGCTGTGTGTCAGGTTCTCCAAGGCTGACAAGTCCTGAGTATTATGTGAGAAAGACTGGTCACAAAGTCACCCATGCGACCCCAGTTGCACAAAAACCTGGAGGTACAGCCATGAAAATATTTATAGTGCTGATCCTGGGGTAGCAGCGTGAGCAGTGATCTCAGTGCTTTTCTTATTCTTGCTTATTTTCTGCAATGAACAAGTATCACTGCCACAATTGGAGTGTTGGAGGTTTTAACTGCCCAGTCAGCTAAGGGAAAAGGAAGCCAGTGGGGACCCCGGGTCTCAGGAGGCTTCCTTGATACTAGGAGTCATAGATGCCAGTACCTGACCATTTTATTAGCTGGCTGGACTCTGCATTTCCATCCAACAGCAATAACAGTACCCTGGGCTTACACAAGTCACATAGCCAGTGATGCTAGGAGCAGTCCATAGTTGTGGTCCCTTCTATCCCACTGTATACACACCTACACATAGATACTGGACTGGAAAAGTTAAAAATATAAGAAACAGGGCCTGGCACAATAGCCTAGTGGCTAAAGTACTCTCCTTGAACGTTCCGGGTTCCCATATGGGCGCCAGTTCTAATCCCGGCAACCCTTCTTCCCATCTAGCTCCCTGCTTGTGATTCAGGAAAGCAGTTGAGGATTGCCCAAAGCCCTGGGACCCTGAACCTTCCTGGGAGACCCGGAAGAGGGTCCTGGTTCCTAGCTTCGGTTGGGCTCAACTCCAGCCGTTGCGGCTACTTGGGGAGTGAATCAATGGACAGAAAATCTTCTTCTGTGTCTCTTCTGTCTGTATACCTGCCTTTCCAATAAAAATAAATAAATCTTTATTAAAAAAAATCAGAAACAATGGTGGGCATTTGGGGAAATAGTTAAAATGCTGCTTGGGATGTCTGCATCCTACAGTAAAATGTCTGGGTTTGAGTCCTGGCTTTGGTCCCAATTTTAGCTTCCTGCTGAAGCACTCCCTGGGAGGCAGCAGGTGATGGCTCACATTGCCTGGATCCCTGTCATCCACATAGGAGATGGAGACTGAGTTCCAGGCTCCTTGTTTGAACCTACCAGCCCCAGCTCCTGCAGGAATTTGGGGAGTAAACTATCAAATAGAATGAATTTTAACACTACAAGGAATAATGCTTCAAGTCTGTCTACTAGTCCACACATAAAACACAGTAAAAGGCATGATTCTGCCTGTTGGTACAGCATTATATGTGTGTATTATTTCAGTTGATGTGCTTGGGAAACACCATGAGGGGAGCAGGACAGGAGCAATCTCCTTATCACTGTGTCACAGAGCAGAAACACAGTATCTTCGAGAAGGGAAGTGCGATTTGGCCAAGGTTGTTTGATGTGTGAGGTGTGGCACTGCACATCATTCATGCTTTCCTCCCCCAGCCCTTTCTCACCAAGCTCACATCCTCCATTCTCTCCTCTGGCATAAAGAGCTGAAACCAGGAGCCATTGACCCCAGTGAGAACAACAGTAAACTCTTGAGCAGAGAAATCAATTCAGCTTGAAAGACCACATGTGCATAATTAAGACTGAAGGCGCCAGCCAGGGGGCACAGTCTCCCCCAGGTTGACCTGAGTGGGCTGCCAGGGCAACTGAGGCATTCCTCAAGAAGGGCAGACTCCATCAGCTCCCCTCCCCTGCCACAGTTCCTCGCACCAGGAGAAAGTTGCTGAAGGTACGCTGTAAAGAAGGAAAGAACCGCGGCCATCTTCCAAAAGATGCAGAAGCCTGGTCCATGAGTGTGTCCCTCCCTGCCTTCTGGTCTCTACTCTCTTCCCTGGAAGGAATCAGCTTCTCTGGCTCTTCTTAAGTCCTTCCAGAGAGGAATTGCATATGTATATATGCAAATGAGAGTCAAATTAAAAATCCACCTCCTCCGCTCCCCAGGATTTTAGACAGTGTGGAACAAGAAACCCAGCAGCCCTGGATCCTTTTCATCTATACTCTGCCACTCTGCACCCACAAGCCCATCACCCAAACTCACTGAGCCTTGCTTTCTTCCTCTGTAAATGCAATGGGGGTAAGAACTGGCCCTCAGAGTTGCTGTGTAGATGAAACTAGATACAAAACTCTATGGACAATTCCAATTTTCTTTTTGAGTGGCAAGAATAAACATAGAAAAGACCTGGGTGGCTGCAAGGAAGAATTAAGTTTGTGGAGTCTGGTGGTCTGCAGGTGCCCAGGGGGATGACAGCTCCTCTTGGAGTCAACAGGCTGCAGGTTTCACCTGGAAGCACAGTATTTTGTTTTGTTTTGTTTTGTTTTATATATTTATTTTCATTGGGAAAGCAGATTTATAGAGAGAAGAGAAAGATCTTCCTTTCGCTGGTTTACTCCCTAAAAGGTCACAATGGCCAGAGCTGAGCTGATCAGGAGCCAGGAGCTTCTTCCGGGTCTCCCACACGGGTACAGGGTCTCAGGGATTTGGGACATCCTCAACTGTTTTCTCAGGCCACAAGCAGAGAGCTGGATGGGAAATGGAGCAGTCGAGACATGAACCAGCGCCCATATGGGATCCTGGTGCTTGCAAGGGGAGAATAACCAAATGAACCATCCCACCAGGCCCAGTTTTATTTTATTATTTTATTTTTTAGTCTGTGGATACTGTTCTGACCTGGACATCTGGCACCATGAAAAAGTTGGATTTTCTGTCCCATGCCCATCCGCTGATATCTAATTCAATAGCTCCCTGTCCCTAACCTAAGGTCAGATTTATATTAAGGTCATCTTCCTGCTTCTCTGATAGAGCTAGCCAATCACAGACACTGTCCAACCAACTGGCTTTCTATCTACACATCCATGTCTGGTTAACTGGGGTTCAGGGCTTTCAAGAGGGAAACTGGCCCAGGCCCAGAGATGGAGGGGGAGACAGGTAGAAGGGATGACAGATTTCCTCTCAAGGGCGGTCAAGAGCAGAGATTGAAGCACTGTCCCTGGATGAGGCCCGACCGGCAGGCATTCTGCTCACGGCTCTCAGGTCCGGTGTCCTTCCATCCCCTCCCCTGTCTGCCCCACACTGTCTGCTGAGGCCTAGCCAGAGACAAGCCTTATCCCTGGCAGGAGGCCACCTATGAAGATGAATCAGATGAGGCCGGCAGGAGCCAGTGGGAGGAAGATAGAGGGACATACCCGGTGGAGGACACAGCAAGGGCTATGGCTCATGGGTGCTCCCAGGCAGGCTGCAAAATGGGGAGGAGGCCTGAGCTCCCAGAAGGTGTGCTGAAGGTCAAAGAGAGGCGGGGGAGGAGGGACACACAGCTACAGGGGGATAGAGTCCCAGAGGATGGAGGAAGCAGTGGAGAGGACTAGAGAGAGGGTGGGAGGCAGAGCCCCAGACTTGGGACTCCGTGGGGAGACCAGCTGGGTCAGTGGCTCTGGATGTTAACCATGTGCCCATCGGTAGCTTCCACTCCTCCCCACTGCCCAGCTCTGGTTCCAACTAATCCAAGGATTCCGATGGTCAGTCTCATCTGCCACCACCCCACTTATCTCTGCCCCTCTCCCTGCACCTTCACAGGACCCCCTTGCTGCTGACACCGTAGGAAAGGAATAAGAGCTGCAGTGTCTGGGGGAAGATGAGTTGTTGAGGAAATCTAGGCCCTTGGTGGGATGGCCCTGGGCAAGTCACCTTGCCTCTCTGTTGTCAAATAGAGCTCCTGAAAGCCCCAAAGGGCATTAGGGCAATGGAGAGGTTGAACCCAAAGCTTGGCCCAGCATCCTGCAAACAGGGCACGTTCCAGCTCGCACATTTTGATGGTCAGTGCAGTTTGCAATTTAAAGGGGACTTCAGGACCCACAATGCAGGACCCCATCCCCTTACACACACACACACACACACACACACACACACACACACACACACACACACACACACACACACACACACACACACTGTGACTCTGGGACAAGCCTGGGAAGAGAATGCGATGTGAAGAAAACTGCGTACTAGGATTGCACGCACACTTGCTAAGAGAGAGGGTCACCCAGCCCAGGCAGAACGGAAGCGGTTGAGCTTCAAGGCAATTCGGGGCTCAACCGGCCAGTGGATGGGAAGAGGGGCGGGACAGGGCTGGTCTCTCTCGCCCTGCTGGGGGGCGGGTCCCCCCGGAACTGCTCCTCCCGTCCGCCGCCGCTTTAAGAGGCTGCTCGGCGGCAGCGAGCGGCGCCTGAGCCGCAAGCCGGAGCTAGCGGACCGAGCCAAGCGGGCAGGTGCACGGCTGCGGGGACGGCAGCGGCATGACCGGCCACCACGGCTGGGGCTACGGCCAGGAGGACGGTAGGCTCAGACCCCGGCCGGCCGGCCCCCATCCAACTGGACTCGCGCCCAGCCAGGTTTCCCGAATCTGCAGCCCTCTCACGCTCCAGGCGGGACTGGGACACCTCTCCCGTCCGACGCCCAGAACTGAGCCCCCTGCCTGGTCACAGCCCTGGTTCTCCTGCTCCCGGAGCAAACTCTCGCTGCGTCCAGGCAAAGGACCCGGCTGCTAAACGCACCCCGCAGCTTCCTCTGCACAACCCTTGACTGGCACTGTCGCTCTGGTCCTGGGTCCCGACGCGCACTCACCCGAGGCGTGCAAGGCGTGTGGAGGGGCCCCAGGACAGCCGGGGGTGGGGGCGGGGGGGAGCAGCGGCAGCCGAGCCGGGGGCGCGGATGTTGGTGCGGGGAGCGCGCACGGCGTGTATGTGCTGGATCTCGGGGTACCCTAACTTTGCGTAGACCAGGGCTCGGGGGTCCCCGGGAGTTACCGTGAGGGAAGTGTCCGAGCTGTGTGGAGTCGTTAGAGGATGAAGAGGCATCTAAGGGCGCACGCACGTGCCTGGGTATCTACAAGGATACCCAGCTTTGAGTTCGCGTGGGTGTGAGGCGTGGGAGCTGCGACCCACACCAGCTTCCTGCTTCCATCCATCTTCCCCCACCCTGCCTCTGTTTCCTGAGATTCGGGGCAAGGGAGGAGAGGCACCAGGTGAAAGCCAGATGCGCCCAGTGTTTATCTGGCACAGGTTGGATACTGTGGGGGCTATTTCCTATCAAGCTGGATGGAGTGAGGGGGTAAGTGCTTCCCTGTTTCCCTGAGATAAACGATAGGGACCCAAGGTCCAGGGTGTCAGGAAGGCACCCAGAGAAGGGCAGGTGGGCATAGAGAGAGGAGGAAGTGCTGGTGCGAGGAGCATCCAACCCCACTTCTCTGGGGAGAGACTGTAACCCCAAGACCCCCACCCAGGACAGAAGGGTGTTTGGGATGTGGATCCCTGGAGCTGGACATGCAAAAGCTGGAAAGAGAGATTCAGAAAAAGGCACCAGAGTGAAACAGAGACGGGGGAGGGGGCAGGCTGGCAGCACCCGTAGATTATCTGCACCTCCCTCCTAGCTTCATCTCCCAGCTCACTTTGGGGTGCTTACCCCAGACTCAGGGTCCCCAGCCCTGTCCTGCCCCTCCCCCCCATTCTGGGCATCCAATGGCCTGGTTGGCTACCTTCAAGCACCCTCCCCTAGTCAAACCTGGGTCACCCAGGCTAGGGGCAACATGGAAGGGACAGACAGAGGACAGAGGTGGCAGCACACAGCATGGCTTCCAGGACTTCAAAAATAACCCAGCGGGGCCGGGCCACGATTCTGAGTCATCCATTGGGGACACAGCTCTGTCGGCACCTGCTGCTGTTTTCTCGGGAAAACTTAAGAAGCCAAAAATGCGGGGAGAAGTACCAGCCGGCAGGGCCTCTAAAAATAGGCTGCATCTCAGGATGTTCCCCGGGGAGATGCTGAGCCTCTCGGCTGCAGATGGAGTCTCTGGGAGGCAGGTGGTGGGCGCCCGTGGGTGTGTATGCAGGTGTGTGTGTGTGTGTGTGCACAAGCAAGCAAGCATGCATGGTGTACTGCTAGTTCCCTCATCTGTGAAATGGGCATCGGGCTGGTATGCTGGTTTCTACTTCTCCAGTGGCAAGAAGAAGCTAGAAACCCCCCTAGGGTCAGGCCAGAAACTGGAGCCACCTACAGTCTTCCTGAGTGTGTGTTGGGAGTTGGGAGTCTCCCTTCAATCCGCAGCACCAGCCCTAAGCCTGTTGATGTGTTACTATATTCCTTGCCATGCATTGCCTCCCCAGGACTCTGCTGGGAGGTGAATTTTAGAAGGTCGTTTGTCAGACCAGGGAGTGGAGACTGGGGTGTGTGAGTGGGGAGGAGGGGCACAGAAGGGAGGCTGGAGGTGTGGCAGAGCTGGGAGTGGAACTCCAGTGAGGCTCCCCATAAATGGACATCAGGCAGACCCTTTGACAGGTGCAGTCCTGAGACCCTGCTCAGTTTGAGTCCTTGCCCCTCTCTCCACCTTCAGGCCCCTCGCATTGGCACAAGCTGTATCCCATCGCTCAGGGAGACCGCCAGTCTCCCATCAATATCATTTCCAGCCAGGCTGTGTACTCGCCCCACCTGCGGCCGCTGGAGCTCTCCTACGAGACCTGCACGTCCCTCAGCATCGCCAACAATGGCCATTCTGTCCAAGTGGACTTCAATGACTGCGATGACCGAACGGGTAAGCAGCTGCTATCTGCCAGAGGACCTTGGTTGGGGAGGTTCAGGAGGGGCTGCCCTGCTGTGGTGTGCAAGGACAGTCTCTTGTCAACTTCAGTCTCCCCATGGATCAGGTGGAAGTAGTCAGAGCTGCTCCTCCCGGTGGCCAAGTGGGAGCATGGAAAAACGAGATGCTTGCAATGCTGGAGAAATGCACTGGTCCTTCCCCCTCTGCTGTTGAGTGCTCCAGGCTTGCATTTGTTCCGTCCCCATCACTGGCCTGCATTATGGCCTAAAGCCCTCCCTTCCCAGCGATCCAGCCAGGCCGGCAGAGAGGGGAGGGAAACACATTGCTGTTTGTTGTCAGGCCCCTTACTAAGATCTAAGGGGCTCATCAACCCCTCCCTAGAACCCATCTCGCAGAGGGACAAACTGAGGCCTGATGGACAGGTAGGGTCAAAAGCAGCCTGGTCCAGCTGTAAAGATCTAGCTTTTCAAATCACCTATGATCCCGTGGCCCCAGCCTAGATGGGCCAGAGAGAGGCTATGGGGAGCTCATGGAAGCTGTTTCCCAAGGCCTCTTTGCCCTGGGACTAGAGTCCACGGTTCTTTCATGATAAATTGCTGGCCAGCCATCTCAGGGTACATAAAGGATTTTATGGCTGGGCCTTTGCAGGAAGCAGGGTGGGAACTTTTAGCTTCTTATCTAAGAAATGATTGCTGGCTTCTCCCCCTCCCAGAAAACACTCGAGAAAATGTAAGTTTCAAAAAGAAAAGCAAAAGGCAGGAAAGGAGGAGGAAGATGGGTCTTTCAAGTAAGGAGAGAATCCTGAGTTCCGTGGTAGACTAGGAAGAAGGGCAGGGGTTTCAGATTCCTCCTGCAGAAGGAAGACCTAGCATATTCTCTAGAGGGACAAAGCACTTCCTGGTCCTGAATTCTTAAAAAAAAATAGATTTTATTTTTTTATAATGATTACATGATGGATTAGGGTGGGAAGGATCGAGGTTTGGGGAAAATTGAGTGAACTCATTGCTTCCAATTTTGCTATTTCTTGTTGTTTCTGGGGGAAGGGGAGAGACAAAGGGGGAAATCACTCATGCCTAGGACTGAATTCTAAGAAAAGCCTCTTGTCCCTGCTTTGAGGAGGGGACACGGGGCTCCACATGATCCCCAATGGCAGACTGAGAAGGAACAGCTCTCATGTGCCCGCCCCTTCCAAGCTCTTTCCCAGGCGCTGTGAGAGGTCAGTACTGGCACGAGGAGGTGTCTGTGGGTCACTGCTCAGACTGTCACGGTCAAGCAGCCCAGGCTCCCTGCCTGCAGGTTCAGGAAGCCCAAGGGAGGAGGAGTAAGACCACTGGGGCCTGCCAACCCACCCACCGTGAGATGCTCTGAACATCGAACAGGCTGATGCCTATTTCCAACACGCAGTGTGTGCCCAATGATGGGCAATGTGTTCCATGGCCAGGACAGAGGACAGAGGCTCCGGGGCCAAAGGGCGCAGGATCACAGGGGTGCCCTCCCCAGCACACCCCGGGTCTATCCGGACATTCAACCAAATGGGAATGAGGCAGCCTGGCAGTTGCCCAGCCCAGAGCCATCCCCCTCATACTCCTTTGTCCACCTGCTCTCAGATAAGGCAAAACCCCAGCACAGCCTCTGCGTTATGCCGTCCTCCCCTTCCTCGATTGGCCCACAGAGGAACTAGACCCTGCTCTGGGCACCCCTGGTGGAGGAGCTTGCTGGAACTCTGAGCCTGGGGCTGTCACCTGATCCAGGGGCTCACATTCAGTCCTGGCCATGGTCAGCTCCACTGCCAGATCCCTTTCAGCTGGAAATTCTATCAGTCCTGGGTAGGGCAGGCAGGGGGCAGAGAAAGAGGGGAGACCTTTGTGTGGCCAAAGCTCACCAGATAGCAAGGCAAGAAAGTTACAACGCCAGCACTAGGGGAGCCCTTCCAAGAGGCCATCAGCAGGGGAGGCAGCACTGGAGGCACCTGGGCCTGGCTGAAACTTGGGAGTGAATGCTTAGGTTCAGGCCTCCTCTGGGGTGACCCTGGAGACAGCATGGCCTGGTGATTAGGAGATTATAGGCTGTCAGGATGGGGACCTGGGAGTGGAGCACTCATGAGGAGAGACCCCAACCCAGGCAGACTGAACCAGTTTTCTAAGTGGAAAATACATTTGGGCTGCTATGTGTGGCTGTGAGAGTCCTTTCACAATTACTTCCCCCCAACAGTGGTGATGGGGGGCCCCCTGGACGGGCCCTACCGCCTCAAACAGTTCCACTTCCACTGGGGCAAGAGGCGTGACGTGGGCTCGGAACACACCGTGGATGGCAAATCGTTCCCCAGTGAGGTGAGGACCCTGGGAAGGGGAGCAGGGCCCCAGGAAAGGGGAGGGGGAGGGGGAACATGCTTTGGGGGCTTTTGGGAGGACTGTGCTTCCTGCAACCCCCCATAGTCTGCATGGGGTCTTCCACACTCTGAGGCTGCCTACAAGAGCTGAGCCTGTGATGCAAGACCCTGACATGAGTGGTCAGGCCAGGGAGCCACTGTGAAATTCCCCTGCCGCACCTGATCCTGCATCCTTCCACGCTGGTCCCAGGGCTGTTTTTTCTACCCCAAGATCTTTTCTTAATGCTGTCCTTTGCTAAGCCCCTCCTGAGTCTTTGGCACTCAGCTGCAGGTGCAGCCTCCTGCGGGGAGGTGTCACTGGGGACTGCTGTTATCTATAATTCATAGCTGCTTCACCAGAGGGCAGAGCCTCGGCCAGATTCCTCTCTGGGCAGGGTTGGGCCCAGAGCTAGGTGGGTGCTACCTGAGGACCCCCAGTATCTCAAGCCTGTTGGAGGACTTTCCCTACCACCACCAGAAGACAGAGCACCCACTGCCTCCTGGAGGCACTAAGCCCAGGCTTGGCCTGCCCCCGCCACCCCCACACCCCACTTGTCCTACAGCTGCACCTGGTACACTGGAATGCCAGGAAGTACAGCACTTTTGGGGAGGCAGCCTCAGCCCCCGATGGTCTGGCCGTGGTCGGAGTCTTCTTGGAGGTGAGTGATGGGTCACCGTGGGATCCTTGGCTCTGCCCCCTGCCCCAGAGTTTTGGATGGAAGTGGTGGGTGTGGGGCTCATACACACGCCCCCCTCCCTGGCAGACAGGCACGGAGCATCCCAGCATGAACCGCCTGACAGATGCACTCTACATGGTTCGGTTTAAGGTGAGGCTGGGGAGGAGGGGCGGGGCAGTTTTGTCCCTGAATCCTGGTGGGAAGGGAGGAAGAGGCCGGGGCCCAGGCTGGGGCCATCCACTTGTCTGCTGAGCCTAAGGCTATGGTCAGCTCCTGCCAGCATTGCACTGGCTTCCTCTTTGTCAGGATCAGCAGCCCCTTTAGGTGCTCAGTGTATACCCAGTTGGATGAAGGCTGGCTCAGGTGCTTGGCACTGATGTGCTGGGACAGGTGGCATCCCCGAGGACAGCTGATGGCCAGGAGACCTTGTGGCAGCTAAAGAGCTTCAGGGAGCCACAGCTGTCACCTGCAAGCAAGCGGGCACAGAGGGCCTAGCCAGGCAGGGGATCATGGGCATTTGCCCGCAATTTGCATTAGCGGGTTAAGGAGAAACCTGAATCTTGCTGACAGAAGCTGGGCAGTGGGGTTGGGGAGAGGGGAGCAGGGACGGGGGAAAAGGGGAGGGTGAGAAGTGGGGGTGGGAGCTGTTGCTATGGGTTCTACTGATGGCTGGTTCCCCCCTGCCCCAGGGCACCAAGGCCCAGTTCAGTTGCTTCAACCCCAAGTGCCTCCTGCCCACCAGCCGGCACTACTGGACCTACCCTGGCTCCCTGACCACGCCACCACTCAGTGAGAGTGTCACCTGGATCGTGCTCAGGGAGCCCATCAGCATCTCTGAGAAGCAGGTGAGTCCTCCCAGGGCCCATAGTGGGTGGGCCCAGGCAGGCAGAGCTCAGGGTCCTCCCCTGAGGCAGGGCGATTCTCCCAACCAGCAATCCACAGTCTGGGTTCCCGGCAGCAAAGCTTCCAGCTCCTACTAATAAACAGATGTACTTGCTTGGGAGTTGGCTTGAGTGGATAGTTGTCAGGACCTAGGCACAGGCTGGGACAAAGATGACAGGAACTGGAACTACTCCCACGTGTTGGCGTCTGGGTGCTGTATGAGATAAGTCTGAGCTAGTACAGGATGGAGCACGGGGGTGGGGCGGGAGGAGGGCTGGTTGGGCCACATAGACCAGATATGAGGACCACAGCCGGTGCATCTTTTTTGTTTTCTCAAGATGGAGAAGTTCCGGGGCCTGCTTTTTACCTCAGAGGACGACGAGAGGGTCCACATGGTGAACAACTTCCGGCCACCGCAGCCACTTAGGGGCCGTGTGGTCAAGGCCTCCTTTCGGGCTTGAGCTGCCCACCTGCCCGGCTGGCCACTAGGGCACCATCTTCCCAAGGGCTTCCATGTCAGCAGACACCAAACCATCTGAGGCTTCCAGCCAGGGACCCCCTCCAGCCAGCTCACTCCTCGGCCGCCCCTGTTGGGAGCCTCGAGAAGGGGGGCACTCTTCAGCTGCCCAGGGGAACCAGAAGGACAAGGCGCCAAGCAGGGTCCAGGCTCAGGGCTACCTCTGCTCCCCAAACCCCCAAGGTTCCCCGACCACCTCCTCCTATCTTCCCCACTGGCAGTGGTGGTAGCCCCAGCTTGAGCCCACACTGTGACAGACAAGCTCAAGCTTCCTGGGGCTGGCAGTGGGCACTGCCAGAAAGACTCAAGCAATAATCAGAAGTGGGCAGAGCTGCCCTCTCTTGGCCTTACCTCTTCTGCGGGCCTCTGCCGCACATGCACCTCACTGCCGGGACTTCCTGCCATCAGCACCCAGCCTGCTGGAGATGAGGTGATTTTCTTCCTCCAGCCACCTGCTGGCGACAGCGGATTTGCTTTCGCTGCCCCTCGTCCCCACCTAGCCACCAAAGTCCATCGACATGACAATCCATCCCTGTGTGCGTCAATAAAGTCCTTGACCCCTGCATTAGTGCTAACAGGTGTCTGTGCTTTGTCGTTACTGTCCTGGGCCTCAGGGAGCCAACAGTGGTAGGTCAAGCACATGATATGGGGGTTTGGGGGACAGGACACAGTCCTGGGTAGGTGAGGGTTATATAGGGGCAGGCCAGGAGCTATAGTGGCAGAGGGAAGGAGGAGCCTACTGTGCGTGGTGGAGAAATGCAATTATGGGGTCTGCACTTTGGCTTAGTGAGTTATGCTTGCAATGCAGATTATCCCATATTGAAGTGTCAGCTGGAGTCCCAGCTGCTCTGCTTCTGATCCAGCTCCCTGCTAATGCACCTGGGAAGACAGTGAAGGATGGTCTACGTTCTTGGGCTGCTGCATCCACATGGGAGACCTGGAGGAAGCTCCTGGCTCCTGGCTTTAGCAGAGCCCAGATCCAGCTGTCGTGACCATTTGGCCAGTGAATTCCCCAACGGAAGCCCTCTGTGTCTTTCCCTGTCTCTGGGTGACTCAGCTTTTCAAATAAATAAACTGTATCTTATAAAAGAAAGAGAGAAAGAAATGAAATTTTAAGACGGAGTCGGGAACAGGATGTTTGAGGCTGAGAGAAGAGCAGGTGTGCAGGTTCCAAAGTGAGGGAGGGCCCAGTGGGGCGGCTAGGTCCCTGAAGGAGCACCTGCAACTTGCTCCCCAGGCTCGCTCCCCAGGCTTACTGGGGAGCCCTGGAGGGTATATGAATGGGGAAGATCCTTGTGTAGTGTGGATGGGCAGAGGAGAGGAAGTGGTGGCTGGAGTGTAGGAAGGAGGAGGCAGTGTGGAGGAGGCAAGGAACAGGTGCATGTGTGGGAGGTGGGGGCTACATGAGAGAAATTTAAGCCCAGGTAATGGCATCTATCTGGCTGTCTGGGGCAGGTGTCCAGGAGCACACCTGGCCAGACAGCAGGGTGGGAGAGCCTCCAGAAGGACTGAGGTCCCTGGGAAAAGATGGTCATTTGGTCATTAAGGAAGCACACACCTTCAGGCCCAGACTTTGCACCTGTACAGCCCAGAGAATGAATGCTTCCTTAAATGTGCCCCACATTAACTTCCCTGTCATCCCAGAGCAAGTCTCGAGAGCTCCTGAGGGCAAGTCCACATAGTGGCCCAGCTGAGAGGAGGCAGTAGAGGGAGAAGCTTGCTCTGTTGAACCTTGTCCAGTCTCCTTGCTCAGGGCAAACCTGTCCCTGCAGTGGGCAGGATGGGAGAGGGCCTCTTGACAAGGCCTGGCACAGCTTCTGCAGAACCCCCTGACCTGGAGCTGGTGAGAAGGGTGGAGGGCAGTGTTTGCTAGGCTTGGGGGCAGGCAGTTGTGGCAGCAGCAAAGTAATGTAGGCCAGGTGCCTTCTAAGGTGGACAAAGGGCCTGGGGCAGATGCCCAGCTCTGGGAACTGTCATGACTTTCATTTCACAGATCAGGAGAATATGACTCAAGGGAGGTTCAGCAGGCAGGTGGCGGAGCAGGCCTGACACCTGGACCTGTCTCAGACTTTGCTCTGCACCAGAGCAACTGGGCCAATAGGGGGTGGTTGTCTTTGGTGGTGTCTCCTTGGAGTCAGTAAAATGGCCTCAGAGCTAATGGCCATGCTAAGAATCTTGTCCAGTCCCCTCCACCCCCACCCAGGAACAATAGCCACAAGCCTGGCACTATAGAGGGCTTGGAAAACAGGAGACAAAAGCTGCCAAAAATTGGCTTTTAAAAAAATTTTTTCCCTTAATTTATTTATTACGTTTGAAACTATTTAAAAATCCAGTGGCTTGCTTAGTCTATTATCTGAGATTGGATTCTATTATATCCAAATGGGGATTCCCAGCTGGATCCCAAATGCATCCAGCAAACTTGGCCTCAAGGGACCCTGGACAAAGTCCCAAGTCCTTCTTCAGGGCAAAAATCACCTCCTGAGAAAAAAAATAAATAAATAAAAATAAAAATCCAGGCTCCTAGTTTCCCCAACAAGCTTTCTCTCTGGGCGGCATGTGGGGAGGGGACCCTGTAGGTAGTTACAGGCTGGGAACCACAGCCAATTGAGTCTGCACCCCGGGCCAGGGACACAGGCTTCCCACCTACCAAAGCACCTCCTGGAGGTGCCAGACCCTGTGCCCCAGGGCAGGGACCTTTGGAGCTGATGTTGGTGTGAAGTGCCAGCCCCACCCCCCCACCGGAATGTCCTCCTGCAGGGGATTTTTCTGTGACCCTGTGGGTGCTGCTGCTGCAGTTGCTGCAAAGGTTTCGGGACACCCTAAGCTCCACTGCTTCTCTGCAAAGAAACCCCACGGGGACACTGCCAGGGAATGTCACCACACTGCTCAGGTGATGGGGCTGCCGCAGGATTAAAGCCTAGAGGTGCAGAGGGAGGTGAGCCTGCAGCAGGTGCCCAGCCTGGCCTTCATGGGCCTCCCACAACCCCAGTCCCCAGCACCAGTCAAGAGAGATTCAGAGGGAGAGAGCCTGGCACAACGGCCCAATGGACTAATCCTTCACCTCCAAGTGCGGGGATCCCATATGGGCACTAGTTCATGTTCCAGCTGCTCCACTTCTCAAGCAGTTCCCTGCTTGTAACATGGGAAAGCAATAGAGAATGCCTGAAAGCCTTGAGACCTTGCATCTGCATGGGAAACCAGAAGAATCTCCTCCTGGCCCCTGGCTTCAGATTGCCTCATCTCCACCTGTTGCAGCCACTTGGAGAATGAATCAGTGGATGGAAGACCTTTCTCTCTGTGTTTCCTTCTCTATGTAAATCTGCCTTTACAACAAAAATATATAAATATATTTTTAAATGACTATCAAAAACATACATAGGAATGAGTCATTTCAGGAATACATTTTATTTAACCACCTTCAAGTACAGGCATCCCATAGGGCAACAAATTTGTGTCCTGGCTGCTCTACTTCTGGCATAGCTCCCTGTTTGTAGCCTGGGAAAGCAGTCGAGGACGGCCCAAAGCCTTGGGACCCTGCATCCGCATGGGAGACCCAGAAGAATCCCTGGCTCCAGACTTTGGATCAGCTCAGCTCTGGCCATTGTGGGTATATCAGGAATGAACCAGTGGATGGCAGATCTTTCTGTCTCTGTTCTCTGTCAATCTGTCTTTATGATTAAATAAGTCTTTTTAAAAGCAAAATTATCATGCATGGCATTCTAAATCCCCACGATGCACCTGACATTCTAAGGCCTCTGAGAATTCTCAAAATGGCCGGGACTCAAAGCATGACCTGAACACCACCCTCTATGAATATTTAATTAATATTCTGCTCACCAAATTCTGCTCACCATGCCTCCAGATCATACAAGGGAGTGACCGCAGACCTCGCTGGTCCCAGACCACCTAGGCAGAGAGGAGGAAGCTTGGCTCTTGCCCAGGGCACATTGATCGACAATGTATGTGTTTCAGGGGATGCAGGGGTTCCCAGGTTCCAAGCACTTCCAGTGCCACGCAGGCAGAAGTTTGCATCAAACTCTATGGGCCATTGATGGCCTAAATTGATCCCTGGGTTGGAGGGCTTCCTGAGGCCTCATGTGGCACAAGCTGCGTTCTCACCCAGGGTTCAAGGGCAAGTTGCAGCAGGTGCAATTCATCATCTCCACCTGCTGCCCCCATGGGGCCCTGATGATGCACTAACTAACTAACCCTTCGGCAGGCAGGGGATGAATCTTGGCTAAATTCCTCCCATTGCCACCCAGGTGTTGTTGTCTTCAGTGTGAATGGAGGATGAGCAGGTGGCACATCAATTTCCTCTGGGACAGGCATTGCAAGAAAGGCCTGGGGTCCCATGGGGCCCCATAGTCGCCTGGGCTCCCCTGAGACCCTGAGGTTAGTAGGAAACAGCATCTGATCTCTGGGAGGGCAGGGTCAGAACCCCCCACCCACACCTGTCACCCAGTGTGTCCCACAGGAGCTTGGCTAGCACTGACACTCTACTGGGTCCCACCTGGACAGTTTCTCTCCCTTCTCCCTGAGAACTACATCCACCCAGAAGCCAAGGCATGCTTGGATTATGGGGCTCCCCTATATGTGATTAAATATTAAAAGCTAGACTGACGCTTGTCAGTATAAGAAAGGTGAATACAGTGACCCCTCCCCCCATGCTGCTTTTATCTTAATAGAAAGTGAAGTAATATATTATTGAAAATCACTTTCCTTTGTGGTCCATAGGACAGACTTGTGGGGTGACTCCTCACAGAGCCCTAGGTTGATCCATTTTACTGGAGCCCACGTCCTCTGCAGTAGGCATGACTTGTGTTCCATTTTACAAATAAGACCCGGAGTGTTCCCTTGATTAGGCCGCTGGGTCACTCAGCTAGGGCTGGCCCACTTCAGAGCCACGTCTAAGTCTGGAGCATACTCCAGGTCCCCAAAAGGAGC